GCCACCTAGGAAGCCCAAGAGAATATAGTGCAGGGTAATAGCATTCAATTAAATATGGCCTGAGATGGGAGTCAAGAGAACTGTACCGGCAAAAACATACATACATATATATATATATATATATATATATATTTTAAACATACATATATTCATAGATGAATGGAACAGAATAAATCCTGGAAATAAACCCATACACCTATGGTCAACTAGTCTTTGACAAAGGAGGCAAAAATATACAGTGGAGAAAAGACAGTCTTACATAAAGCAGTGAAGTTAGGACACTCTCTCACACTATACATAAAAACAAATTCAGAGTGTTTTAAAGACCTAAATAGAAGACATGATGTCATAAAATTCCTAGAAGAGAACATAGCCAAAGCATTCTCAGATAAAAATTGCAGCAATTTTTCTTAGCTCAGTCTCCCAAGGCAAATGAAACGAAAACAAAAATAAACAAATGAGACCTAATCAAACTTAAAAGTCTTTTGCACAGCAAAGGAAACCATCAACAAAATAAAAAGACAACCTGTGGGCTGGGAGAAAATATTTGTAAATGATGCAACTGACAAGCGGTTAATCTCTAAAACATACAAATAACTCATAAAACTCAACGTCGAAAAGACAAACAACCCAGGCAAAAAATGGGCGAAACAGACATTTCACCAAAGGAGACATACAGATGGCTAAGAGGCACATGAAAAGATGCTCAATATCACTGATTATTAGAGAAATACAAGTCAAAACCTCGCTGAGGTATCACCTCACACTGGTCAGAATGGCCACCATCAAAAAATCTACAAATAATAAATGCTGGAGAGGGCATGGAGAAAAGGGAACCCTCCTACACTGGTGGTGGGAATGTAATTGGTGCAACCACTACAGAAAACAGTATGCAGTTTCCTTAAACTAAAAATAGAGTTACAACATGATCTAGCAACCCCACTCCTGGGCATATATTTGGAAAAGACAAACACTCTAATTCAAAAAGATCCATGTATGCTGAAGTTCACAGCAGCACTATTTACAACAGCTGGACATGGAAGCAATCTGTGTCTATTGACAGATGAATGGATAAAGATGTAGTACATATGCACAATGGACTATTATGCAGTCATAAAAACAGTGAAATAATGCCACTTGCAGTAACATGGGTGGACCTTGAGGGCATTACACTAAGTCAGATAAAGACAAATGCTGCATGATATCCTTATATGTGGAAGCTACAAAAGCCAAACACATTGAAACAGATTCAGTGGTGGTTATGAGAATCTAGGGGCTTGGGAACTGGGGAGATGTTGCTCAAAGAGCACAAGTTTGCAGTCAGAAGATGACTAAGTCCTGGAGGTCTAAAGTCAGCACAGTGATCGTACTCAATGTTGTTGTCAACAACATTCAGTCATTCCATCGTGTCCAACTCTTTGTGACCCCATGGACCACAGCGTGCCAGGCTTCCCTGTCCTTCACCATCTCCCTGAGCTTGCTCAAACTCATGTCCTTTGAGTCATCGATGCCATCCAACCATCTCATCCTCTGTCGCCCCCTTCTCCTCCTGCCCTCCATTTTTCCCAGCATCTTTTCCCGGGGTCTTTTCCAATGAGTCAGTTCTTCGCATCAGGTGACCAAAGTACTAGAGCTTCAGCATCAGTCCTTCCAATGAATATTCAACATTACTGTGTTATAAATGTCAAAGTTTCTAGGAGACTAGATCTTACATGTTCTCACCACAAAAAAGAAATGATAATTATGTGATGTGATCAAGTTGTTAGCTAGGACTGTAGGGGTAACATATTGTAATACATAAATGTATCAAATCAACATGTCAATTATCACAATTTTTAAAAAAGCACTTCTGAGCTACATGCCAAACACATACATCAGCTTCGATGACAAGTTTTCAGGTTAAAGCTCTACACTTAATAAAGTTAGTTGCTCAGTCCTATCTGACTCTTTGTGATCCCACGGACTGTAGCCCACCAGGATCCTCTATTCATGGAATTCTCCAGCCAAGAATACTGGAGTGGGTTGCCATTCCCTTCTCCAGGGGATCTTTTCAACCCAGAGATTGAACCTGTGTCTCCTGCTTTGAAGGCGGGCCTAAATCACATATTAAGTGAAGTACTAATTATTAGGGGTCTTAACTTAATTATTAGGGATCATATTAACTATTAGGGATCAGGCATTATTTTTATTCTGAGAGGTAGGCGGCGCCCCTAGGCAGGGTCTCCTAGGCCATATTCAGGATTTTGTTATCTTTTCCTAATGAAAGAGTTTAAGCAGAAGAATCTCAGGATGGTGTGGATCTTGTCTGGGTTTTGAAAGATGCCCAGGCAGAGCACTGGGTCAGCTGAACTGCCTCTGGCTGGCTGGCTGGATCTCCATTGTCAGCTCCGGTGCAGGGGGTGGGGGGAGCGGGGTGGAGGGTGGGGGTGGGGTGTGAGCGACAGGGCCTTATCCAGGCTGCATTTTATGGTGCACTGTTGCTCTGATTATTACCACCTCCCTCCCCCAAAGAAGCGCTTCTCTGGTGGCTCAGCAATAAGGAATCCTCCTGCAATGAAGGCGACTTGGGTTCCATCCCTGGGTCAGGAATATCCCCTGGAGAAGGACATGCAACCCACTCCAGTATTCTTGCCAGGAGAATCCCATGGACAGAGGATTCTGACAGGTCACAGTCCATGGGGTCACAAAGAGTCAGACACGAGTGAAGCGACCGAGCATTCCCCTTAAGAACTGACATCTGTTCACTTAATATGTTTTTCATGCTTTGCATAAAGAAGTACAGCATTTTGGAGCTGGGAGGAATTTTACCTGAGTTCCTAAAGCATCACTACATTACAGGTGAAGACAACTGAGACTCTGGGGGTGAAGGCACTCTTCTGAGGTCTCCCTCCACCTCTGCTACTCCTGTGGGGGTGTCCCTCCTATGCAACCCCCCTCCAGAAGCTAGCTGGGTGCAGACATCTCCCTAGCAGCACCACATTTTTATTTCAGACAAAGGTGTTACAGTGTTCCATTTTTGCCTAACTGGCTTTTCTTTCAGAGAGGTTTTTTTTTTTTTTTAAAGTAACATTTATTTATTTTAAAATATTAATTTATTTATTCTGCTGTGCTAGGTTTTTTAGTTTCATCATGTGGGATCTAGTTCCCTAACCAGGGATCAAACCCGGCCGGGCCCCTTGCATTAGGAGTGTAGAGTCTTAGCCACTTGATCACTAGGGAAGTCCCTAGAAAGTTTTTGAGAAAGTGATTTTAGGGACTCTGGGTCTTCATTGCGCATACCTCATGGGGACAGGTAGAAAAACATTAAATAGACTATGTAGCATGTTCCTGGGGGACAAACCACTGGCTCTTCCTTCACTACCCTCTCCTCCCCACCTCCACCTTTGCCATCACAACAAGAGCCGTCATTTACTCACCAGTGTTATGCAAGACACTCAAATCTTTCCAACCCTCCCCATAGGAGGTAGAAATTGCTATTTCCATTTCACAGATGAGGAAATGGAGGCTCCCAAAGTTCACTAATTTTGTGCCCCAAATCACACACCTCATGAATGGTAGAATTCTATCGATCTGATTCCATGGCTTATAATACATTCTTACAACATATGTTGCTGATGTATCTGGAACACACTGGCACTAGACTTTTATAGGTTTTTTTCTTTTTGGCCATGCCCCTTGGCATGGTGGGATCTTAGTTCCTCAACTGGGGATCAAACTGTAACTCCTGTGTTAGAAGCACAGACTCTTAACCACTGGACCACCAGGGAAGTCCCTGGCATTAGACTTTAAAACAATATATTTTAGAATATTTTATTTATTTGTTTATTTATTTTACTGTGCTGGGTCTTAGCTGTGGCATGCGTGATACATTTCCCTGACCAGGGATCGAACCCAGGTCCCCTGCATTGGGAGCTCAGAGTCTTAGCCTGTGGACCACCAGGGAAATCCCCCCAGCACTAGACTTTTATTTTTTTATTTTTATTTTTTCCATTTATTTTTATTAGTTGGAGGCTAATTACTTTACATCATTGCAGTGGGTTTTGTCATACATTGAAATGAATTAGCCATGGATTTACATGTATTCCCCATCCCGGTCCCCCCTCCCACCTCCCTCTCCACCCGATCCCTCTGGGTCTTCCCAGTGCACCAGGCCCAAGCGCTTGTCTCATGCACCCAACCTGGGCTGGTGATCTGTTCCACCCTAGATAATATACGTGTTTCGATGCTGTTCTCTTGAAACATCCCACCCTCGCCTTCTCCCAGAGTCCACAAGTCTGTTCTATACATCTGAGTCTCTTTTTCTGTTTTGCATATAGGGTTATCGTTACCATCTTTCTAAATTCCATATATATGTGTTAGTATACTGTAATGGTCTTTATCTTTCTGGCTTACTTCGCTCTGTATAATGGGCTCCAGTTTCATCCATCTCATTAGAACTGATTCAAATGAATTCTTTTTAATGGCTGAGTAATATTCCATGGTGTATATGTACCACAGTTTCCTCATCCATTCGTCTGCTGATGGGCATCTAGGTTGCTTCCATGTCCTGGCTATTATAAACACCAGCACTAGACTTTTAATTGCTTGAAATGATCTGTATTTTAAACCAAGATCAGCTTCACATTTCAGTTTCATATCTTCCAAAGGTGTGTCTTAGGGACATAAAACAGAAATATGAAAAACCATCAGGAAGCTGCCTAACTGGTTACGATCATTGCTATCCTCAGAATAAAGTTGTTGCTTTGATAATTTTTTTCAAAACAAAAAAGAACCTTCAAAACTCCCTAGCTCATCACTTAATTCCATAGATGATGAAAGCAGCATGGAGACCCCACTGCCTTGGCCACAATCTTGGAGTCTGGTGAGAGCCAGAGCCAGGACCAGAAACAGCGCTGGCCGAGTGGCGAGGACACGGCTTTGCATCTCCGGGCCCCATGAACGCCACAAGCTCCCTGCGTTGTGCAGAGGAGCTGGGTGAGGGAGGCCAGGCCTTTGCCTACCTGCAGAACTCTCCCTCAGATTCTGGCAGCAGGAGCGAGGCCATGGGGTTCTTCATCAGATCGGCCACCAGGAGGTCCTTGGGTGTCACATAGAAGAAAGGAATCCCAGTACTGTTGTCGAAGGGGCCATCACTGATGGGCAGGCAGGTCCCAAATGGCAGGCCTGGGATCTAACAGACATCAAGGGAAAAAAAGACCTTTTCAATACAGGGCTGTGGACTGACTTGAGCTGGGAGCTAAGCCTGTGTCTCTGACCAGAAAACAGAGCCCTGGGGATGCAAAGGCAGCATGACGTCACCACAGTTTTGACAGGTCATGAACCCAGGCAGAGTGGTTCCCGGTCTACTCACTTTACCCGTTGATGGCTTCATGATTTCTATAGAGGAGCTTAGCAGTGGCACCTGTGGATGGGGGATGGTGAGGGAATTACTCTTGAAGCTTCAGAAAAACAGCAAACACACTGTATTGGGACTTCCCTCATGGTCTAGTGATTAGGATTCCGCTCTTCCACATGGGGGCCCAGGTTCAATCCCTGATCCAGGAACTAAGATCTCACATGCCATGTGGTATGGCCCAAAACAAACCAAAAAATTCAGGGACAAAATAAAAAACTAATTAATTTAAAAAACCACTCTATTAAATTGAAAGTTATTTGGGGGAAAGGCAACGAAATTCATGGAGGGGTGGAGGGTCACTAAAGACCCTTCTCACAAGCTGCCCCGGGAATCCCACTGTCTTCACCACCTGCACCAAATTTTTGGCAACTCTGGGGATAGAATTTAAACCTCACCTCTTACCTGGTCTTTGGAATCCAGGAACTTTCTGTTATAGTTTCCTTTAGGGTTATACCACTTCCTCACTTCTCAGTCAAAATTTTATTGTAGTAAATAATATTTCAGTCATATAATTCAGTAACTTAAGAGAATTTGTTTCTTATCCTATTAGCTTCAAGGAAGACACAGAAGCAGGCAAAAGCAATTTCTGTTCACGATCATTCAGTACAGCAGGTGAAATTCGCAGACATAGACACAAATATTTCTCAGGTTTTTCCCAAGCCCTGCTGGGTCCAGCATCATGACCTTTACCCTTTATAGAATGTGTTTCTCATTGTTACTTAGCTCAGCACTCAGGGCTGTCTTTGAAGTATCACTCAACAACAGTATGTAGAATTGTGATAAGGGGTGGCTTTAACTTTTGAAGAAATTCTACAAAATGGTAACATGTCATTACCAGATCCTGTTTTTCAGCTGGTCATTCACAAACTTTGCGATGGGGTCGCAAATAGTCGGATACGACTAAGCACCTGAACTGAACTGATTCACAAACTGGCTGGAATCATGCTGGGCACACATGCCAGGCACGTAGTACATGTTCTCTGAATTTATTAGATTTGGTGTAAATGTCGATAGTGGAAAAGGGAACTACTAACAAGGCTAAGAAAAGGGATGTTGAAAGTCATAATATCTTTGAATACTTTGGCCTTAGACTTTTAATTGCTGGAAGTGATCTATATTTTAAACCAAAATCAGCTTGATATCCTCTGAAGGTGTGTCTTAGGAGCATAAGATATTGCTGTGGAAAACTATTTGAAGGCTGTGAGAGACGTTAAGATCATCACCATCATCAGAATAAAGTTGTCATTTAGATTCTTTTTTTTCCTAAGGCATAAAAGGACCTTCAGAACTACCTGCTGCTGCTAAGTCGATTCAGTTGTGTCCAACTCTGTGCGACCCCATAGATGGCAGCCCACCAGGCTCCCCCATCCCTGGGATTCTCCAGGCAAGAACACTTGAGTGGGTTGCCCTTTCCTTCTCCAATGCATGAAAGTGAAAAGTGAAAGGGAAGTCGCTTAGTCGTGTCCAACTCCCGGTGTCCCCACGGATGACAGCCCACTAGGCTCCTCCATCCATGGGATTCTCCAGGCAAGAGCACTGGAGTGGGGTGCCATTGCCTTCTCCCCAGAACTACCTAGTCCAGTACAATTTCATAGATGAGGAAAGCGAAGTGAAGGACCCAGTGACTTAGCCACAGTTTCGGAGCTGGTAAGACCTGGATCTGGGCCCAGAAACTTCCGCTGCCCCCCACCCCATGACCTACAAACACCATAATAAAATAAAATTTTTTTTGCATTAAATAAATAGGGGTTCAAAGTATTTCCCTGTAATAAAACCCTCATAACTCTTTTGTAAAATTTATTAATTTATTTTAATTGGAGGATAATTACTTTACAATATTGTGATCGTTTTTGCCATATATCTCTTTTTTAAAGTTTTTTTTTTTAAGTGGACTGTTTTTATTTACTGAATTTGTTACAATGTTGCTTCTGTTTTCTGTCTTTTGGAACTCAAGGCATGTGGGATCTTAGCTGCCCATCAGGGATGGAAGCACACCCCTTGCACTGGAAGGCCAAGTCCCAACCACTGGACCACCACTGGACTCCTTGCATCTATCTCAACAGCCCTAAAAGCTTTATGGGGGGTGTTCATGTAGGAATGCTACATCCTCATCAAGTAACCATGTTATTTCAGCTTCAGGTGGAATCATGTCTAACAGGTGAATAAAATAACCTGTGAAATGAAGGATGACAGCTGCAACTGGTAACAGCGCTGTCACTCCAACACTCAGAGCTTCAGCACAGTAAGCCTCCTTTCCAGAACAATTCTCGAATGCCATTGTTTTAAATGTAAATTTCCACCAAAGCCGCCATCCTGGTGTCAGCAGGTGACAGGACAATTGCGGTAGGTGCACGGGAATGGGGCTGGACGCGGGGAGGGGCTGGATGTGCTACTTAGTGATGCCAAAGGCAGCTCTGGCTTCTTTTGTCCAGGTCTCTGGTCAGGCGTGGAGATCTGCACCCCCTCTTTGGCCATTTCAAGACCGCGCTTAGGTCCTCAGCCACCTGGCAGGAAGCCTGCTTGTCTGTCTGTCGTCCTTCCCCTCCCCCGCCCCGGGTTTGCCCCGGTAACCGAAGCAGAATCTGCTTTCATTAACTACACGCTGTCCACGCCAATCCAGACCCCCGCGCGGGTCTGCTAGACCTGCATCGGAGCACGGGAGTGGCCCCAGGCTCTCCGAGTCCCCTGGGCGCGCCAGGCACGCCCCTGCACGCGGCTCCGGCGGGGGCGGCTTACCTTCTCATGGGCGGACACCGTGGCCAGACAGCCCCAGGCGCTGGCGTGGGCCAGGAAGCGGGCGATGCCCGGGCGCAGCCTCGCGCCGCCCTCGCGCGGGTAGGAGAACATCCCGGGCGGCGCGGGGGGCGGCCTGGCGCGGGCGGCGCCCTCCGGGGGAGGCAGGTGTGCGTCCTCCTTGTGCGCCGAGGCCGGAAAGCTCCGCTGCCAGAGGCTGCCCGAGTTCCCCAGCAGCGCGGGCAGCGCCTCCTCCGTGGAGGCTCCGTCGAGCTCCTCGTCCACCTCGTTGGTGACGGCCCAGGACACGGAGCTCACGATCACGTAGCCCGCGGCCGGGGACAGCAGGGCGCCACACCACAGCAGCCAGGACAGGCGGGGCCCGGGCCGCCGGCCGCGGCGCCGCGACATCTTGCGGAGCGCGCGGGGCCCGGGGGACCCCGAGAGGGACGCGCCGCCCCCGCCGCAGGTGCCCGGGTGGGGCCCCGGGCGGTCCTCGCCGCCGCGCGCTGCGCCGGGAGGTGGGGCTCCGCACGCACTGCAGCCCCGGTGCGCAGTTCTCCCTGCGCGCCCGGCCGGGGCTGCGCTTCTTCTCTGAGTGGATGGCTCAGCGTTCTGCAGCCAGATGCGGGGCCGTTGAGGTCCAGCGCGCTCCTCCACTCACCAACTGTGCGGCCCCTGCCGAGTCACGTAACCTCTCTCTGGCCGGTTCCTTTATTAGGAAACACAGAAAACAGTATTTACATCGCGGGGATGAGGGATGGGAGGATGAAAGCTGTTAATGTTCGGAGACGTTTAGCCCAGTGCGTGGCGTGAAGCAAGCGCTGTGTGCTGTGAAATAGACAAGAGGCAAGGGTGGTTGTCGTTTGGTCGAGGAACAAGCGGAGCGAAGGGGGATGGTGAGATTCGTCTTACCAAGTCTTCCGAGGCCAAAGCCCTGTCCACTTGCTCTGTAAGGACCGTGGTCGTCTTACATTTGGCTGTGACAGGAGAGCGTTGCCACCAGTTCATCTAAAACTCCAAGTAGTAAAGAACCCACCTGCAGGAGACTGCAAGTTCCATCCCTTGGTCAGGAAGATCCCCTGGAGGAGGGCATGGCAACCCACTCCAGTGTTCTTGCCTGGAGAATTTCACGGACACAGGAGCCTGGTGGGCTACAGTCCATGGGGTCGAAAGCAATGAGACACGACTGAGCACAGGGCAGGGCATCTAAAATCACAATTTAAAAAAAAAATCACAATCAAAGTGCTCACTACTCACATGTTGTGGTCCGCACAGCAGGTAGGGATCGCAAGTGGTCGCTGCACAGTTTGGGAAAAAGAAACTAGAGACCGAATTAAAGTTTTAAAGATGGGACCGGGGACTCAAGACCTCTTGGGTCCAGAGCCCTGTTCCTCGGGCCCACATCACTTTTATTTAGTGTCTTGGCAAGCAGGAAATATCTGTTGTGCTACGATGAAGTCAACCTCCTGTGTCCCCGGTCACATCTCCCATTTTATTGATTACTTTAAGCTATTTTCTTGTACAAGGGCTATCACCTAGCTGGAGGTCATAAACCTGCATATGCCTTGGGAAAACATCTTAGTGTGTGCACAAGCAGTGTTCTGAACTTGTGCTGACCCGGTGTTCCAAGGTCCATACTGTTTTTCTTTAGCTTAGCAGGGGATGACAACCCCAATTGATCAACCTGATGTATTTTTATTTGGCTTATGCTGTGTTGCTATATTTTGCTTTTATTCTTTTCCCATGGCGATTTTCTCAAGGCTTAGCCAGAGCAACAGGTGGCTGACTAGTAACCCCTGAACTTATACACTAAAATAAAGGTGAGGGACTTTCCTGGTGGTCTGGTGGTTGGGACTTCCAGCTCCCATGCAGGGGGCCCTAGTTTGGTCCCTGGTTGAGGAACTGGATCACACATGCCTCAGCTGTAAGTTCATATGCTGGACCGAGCATGCAAACTCTTGATTATTCCTCGTGGGTCAACTGAGACCCTGGCGCAGTCAGAGAGAGAGAGAGGGAGAATAAATGTCTGCACCCGGAGAGAATGTGGCCAGGATGGTGTAACAGAGGATTGTATGAGACAACCACTATTTAAAAACATTCTCTGATTGATGAATGGCGTCACTGACTCAATAGACATGTGTCTGAGCAAACTCCAGGGGACAGGAAAGCACAGGGAAGCCTGGCGTGCTGCAGTCTGTAGGGTCACAAAGAGTCAGACACGACTGAGCGACTGAATAACAACAGCTGATGGGTGGGAATTTGACTTGTTTCTGGTTATAAAGTTTTGTGAACAGTCTTGTATGCCGGTGTGTCAGCGTCTTTTATGCCCTTTCTCACGTCTCTCAGCTCCTTTGTTCTCTCCTGGTGTTGCTGTGGTGACTGACGCATGGGGTACAGGCAGCCTCAGGTCACCTCAGCGGTCTGCATGTCCCTTGCTTTCTGCCTCAGGGCTTCTGTGCCACCTGCCACACGGAACATCAGTGGGGTTCGGCTGAGCAACGTGAAAACACACAGTTGCGGAAAATCCCCACTGGGACAACCTTTGGCCAATGGGTTTAGGAACCAGAGGAGGAACGCTCCCCACTTCCAAGTTGCAGGTGGATGACTCTGAAGGTCATGCTACACAGTTTCTTGGAGGGTCTCCAACAGGACTGAGCCCCGGTTACTCACAGTGGTAACCAACTCAGTGATGGAATGGCTTTCCTTCCTCCATATTCCCGTAATTCTGGTCAGTCCCCTCACTTTGGTTCTGTAGGACCACATCCCAAAGCGAGTACCTATGTTAAGTCCTCTTCTTAGACTCAGTTCTTGGGAGGAAGCCAAGCTCAGGCCCAGGTGCACACACACAAGAGGTCTCTAGAGAACGTACCTTGCGGTGGAGTTGCGGGTCTAGGCCACGAGTGTGTTTTACTTTATTATATAACATCACACTGATTTCCTGACAGTTTATCACTACCGTTAGTGTGTGGTGGTTTCTGCTACTCCATATTCTCATTGGCATATTATTGTCAGGTTCTATGCCCGCCCCCTGCAATCTATAGATGAGTAATGATAATTCATTTTTTTTTAATGTTTGATTTTTGCTTTTTGGCTGTACCACACAGCATGTGGGATCTTCCTTCCTCCACCAGAAGTTGAACTTGTGCTCCCTGCATTGGGTGGACCCTTATCCCTGGACCACCAGAGAAGTCCCTGATAACTCATTTTTATTTTAATGACTCATGTGGCTCATTGCCTTCTCATATATGTGTCGGTCAGTTGGATACTCTCATTTTGTGAAATGCCTGTTAATACCTCTTGTCCATTTTTATTGGGTTGTTTGTGTTTTCTTGTATTGATTCATAAGAATTAATTTTATGTCCTACGTTCCAGGTTTTGGGTGTTGTGTTACAAATTGTCTTTGGCCTGTGGTGGTGGTTAATTTCATGTGTCAGCTCAGCTGGAGATAGAGATGCCCAGATTGTTGGTAAAATGTTATTTCTGGGTGTAACTGTATTACTGGGAGAGATTAGCACTTGAATCAGGTTAAATAAAGAGCATCATGCTCACTGGTGCAGTGGGCATCATCCGCTGAGGACCTGAGCAGGACAGAAAAGCAGAGGGAGGACTGGTTTGCTCTCCGCCTGGTCGGGACATCCTTGTGCGGCTGCCCTTGGACACTGACACGCTTGGTTCTGGAGCCTTTGGACTCGAGCTGGGACCCACTGTATTGGCTCCTCTGTTCTCAGGCCTTTGAGTTGTCAGGTGTCAGGCTCGAGAGCCCACAATCCTCACAGACCAGCTGGGACCTGATCTTGTACTTGCCAGGCTCTAGAACTATGAGAAAATAAACTTCTGTTGTTTAAGCCATCAGCCTGTGGTATATTAGATGAATACCATAAATACACTGAAATTGGCTTATCCGCTCTCCCATGGATAGTTATTAGTATTGTTTTCAGGTGTTATCTGTTAGGACTAAAGTTGCTATAAGCCCTCTTCTACAAGTCTTTTTGTGAATATATGTTTTCTTTCCTTTGAGTAAGTACTTAGGAATGAAATCATAGGGTCCTAGAATAGGTAAATATTTAATTTTATACAGAATTTTCTGTTCTTGTCTGAATATTTGTACCCAGCAAATTCATATGTTGAAGTTCTAACCCCTAATGGGATGGTATCTGGAGGTGGGGCTTTTTGAAGGTAATTAGGGTTAGATTAGGTCATGATGGGTTTAATGGCCTTATAAGAAAAGGAAGAGACAGAGTGCACATATCCCTGCCCCCCTCTAGGTACAGGGGAAAGCCCATGTACAGACACAGCCAGAAGGCAGATGTTTGCAAACAGGAGGCGAGCCTTCATGAGAAACCCGACTCCTTGATCTGGGAACTTCCAGTCTCCAGAGGAGGAACAAATGTTTCTTTTCTAGGTCACTCAGTTTATGACATTTTGTTATGACAGCCCAAGCAGACAGAAACACTTTCAAACCACTTTCCAAAGTGATTTGTGTGTGTGTGTGTGTGTGTGTGCCATGTTACAGTCCTGCTGGGAATATATGAGGATTCCATGAGGTCACTAAACGATGCAAAGGAGCTGTTTGGAACTGGAGCTCAGGTACTTGGTTTAGTAACATTTCCCATAGATTTCAGATTTGTGTATTGTAAACAATCCTGAACCATCATGTATGTGTAGTTGTAGAAAAGTATTCCCCTACTAGCAAATAATGTGAGGTTTGGTTGCCAGAAATTGGTCCTGGGTATATTTACAAGCAGATTTGACTAGTACTAGGAGAAATTAGATTGTAGGTCTGCTGTTTATCTATCACTTCCCATTAATGAATACTTTGTTAAGGACAGTGAGAGGCACACAGTCAAAGGTAACAAAGCACAATTTAAAGTTTGGGGCTGGAGATTTATAAGAGGAGCCTGGGATGTTTTCTTGAGTCAAAAAAGAAAGAAAGAAAGAAAAGAAGCTGAACATGTCAAAGAGGCAACTTGAAAGTTCTCCCACTGGGAAAAGAGGGAATAATTTAACTATCAAAAAGAAAAATGATGGCAGTTAAAAAGAAAAAAGTCTAAACTTACATTTGCCAATTTACCATACTTCCCAGCAATTGCACTCCTGGGCATTTGTCTCAGAGAAATAGAAAAGTGTTCCCCACAAAACCCTATGTACACCACTGTTCATAGCAGCTTTATTCATGATAACCCCAAGCTGGAACCAATCCAAATATCCCTCAATATGTGAATGAACAGCAGTGTATCCATACCATGGGAAACCCCTCAGCATTAAAAAGAAACAAACTATTAATCCCTGCAACAACTTGGGTGGATCTTAAAAGCATCCTGCCGAGAACAAAAGCTAGTCTCAAAGGTTACATATTGTATGATTTCATTTCCATAACACTATCAAAAGGACAAAATGGTAGGAGTGGG